TTTTTTTTTTTTATTTCTTACCTCTCAGGCTGTTGGACAGAACCATTCAACCCTATTAAGCAGATGCCGTATTCTCTACCCACTACCTATAGGGACAGTTGAATTATAGTGGAGAAAATAGTCCCTGTATTATAGTAGGATGATTCAGTCCAGATGTAATAAAACAGTTGAAATGCACCACAAGTTGCAGGACTCATATTTGTAAAGTATTAGCAGGTGATTGGAATCAGAGATGCGATTCGGCTATAGTATGAAACATCTGTAATTATTGTTCTCAGATTGAACTTCCTAAATGTGAGCTAACAAACCCAGTAAAAGTGAAATAGGTTTGTCTTTAAAAGTTCTTAAATTGATTCAAGGTTCAGAGTCACTTCACTTTCTTCCTGCTTTGAGTAGAACTCTCAAGTTGTTTCACTTTCTACAGGTGTGAAGAACATGGTTGCAATGGCCTCCTCCGTCCCCATGTTGTGTGGTTTGGAGAAACTCTGGATTCTGATATTCTCACGGAGGTTGAAAAAGAATTAGAGATCTGTGATCTTTGTTTGGTGGTACGTGACAATTCCAAAGTGACCATGGCTTTGGAGTATGTAACCAAAATTATGGAATATGTACATAAATTATGTAGGTCCATTAATTTATGTAGTAGGCTGAAGCTAAGAAGTTCTGTTTCTGAGAAAAGAGATGCATATACTTGCAAGTAATAGCTTGTGTAAATTATCATGTAACACTGAAGAAATTTAAAGGCTCTCGTTCTCTTAACATTTCTTGGCCAAGTTACATGTGCTCTCTGCGTTAGAGGTATGCATTAGCTAAATAAGCAATAATGCAAGAGCTTCTGTACCCAAGCAGTATAGCCACACTAATGTTACTTAACTCTTGATTTTTTTTCAGTGCTCACTACTTAAAATCACACTTTTTTTTTCCCCCTGAATTTTTACATAGCTGTTTAGGAATTTCTAGCACGTTTTCACAGTGTAGGTACATTTTCTTTGGAACTAGTTTATTGCACTGGTGTAGCAAAGAAGGGCTGGAGAGTCTCATTAGATTGTGATTTACCTCCTGTGGGAGACATGGGGAGAGGGGTGGGAGGAACATGTTAAATCTGAGGGGAACAGCTCCAGATTTATTCCATGGATAATAATCAAACCATGTTTGTTGGCGTCTGTTGTTCTGCGGTGTGCGTGCTTTAAGATGTTTTGAAAATAAGGAGTCCGTCACAAGTTTCCAAGATAGTGGTAAATGTATTTAAATGCCAGTCTGCTGTTTTGTTATTCCTGTAGGTTGGAACTTCCTCTGTGGTGTATCCAGCTGCTTGTTTTGCTCCTCAGGTGTCTGCCAGGGGAGTTCCCGTTGCAGAATTTAACATGCAGACTACCCCTGCTACGGAAAAGTTCAGGTACGACTGCTTGCACAGAGGAAGCCCTGTTAACTTAAATGAAAGTAGTGTACAGTAAAAGCTTTGTTATCCAGCATGAGTAGGGTAAGTGGGGGGAGGGGGTGTGCTGGTTATACAAAAATTCTGGTTACCAGAGGGCAGTGGGTTTTTGCCTGGACAGATGGGGGGGATGAAGAGCAGTGGCAGCACAAGGTGGTGGGTAGCAATGGTGGTGAGCTTTCCCCATTGCCATGTGAGCTTTTCCCCCCCCCCCACACACACATCTGGCCGGCCAGCCAGAAATACCGGTTAATAGTGTTCTGGTTACTTAAATGCCAGTTAACACAGCTTTTACTGTAGATGAAAGTACTGTAACATGGCTATAAAACTGGTTGGATCATTGTGCTCAGCAAGTAGTTATTAATGGCTCAGTGTCTGGTTCACAGGAGGTGTGAAGTGGGGTTCCTCTGGGGTTTGTCTTGGGTCTAGTATTGTTCAACATCTTAATTGAAGATATGGATGACGGGATTGTGACACCAAGGGGATGTGACACCAAGTTGGGTGGAGTTGCAGATACTCCGGAGGGTAGAGCTAGGATAGGGTGACCACCTGTTCCTATCTGGACAGGACAGTCCCAAAATGTGAACATTAAGTCCCGGTCTTGGGCTGAATGACTGGGACAGCATTTGTCCCAGATTCCCCTGGACACAGTCAACAATCGTCCCAGTATCACATGCAGGGATCTGGCAGAGCCTGCAAGGAGCTGCTTGGGGATGGGAATCATGGAGTGCCATGTGCATATGTGCACACACACATGCACATGGCCTGGAATACAGCCAGGCAGGCGTAGGGAACAACTGCCTGCAGGTAACTCTATTGGGGGGCGGCGGGGTGGGGCCAGATTGAGGCTCCCACAGTGAGTGAGGGAGTGAGCCAGGACTGGTGGCTGGGGCTGGGGTTACAACCCAGCCAGGGCAGTGCCTAGGCAGGGCTGGCTGGGGAGCAGGACTGAGCCACAGGCGTCTCATCTGGGGGGCTGGCTCCCTACCACTGTGCCCACTCCCAAGAAAGGGAGCATGGGCGTTGAGGCAGTTGCCTCCCCAGATTTGTGCATAGGGTTGGGGCAAATGTGGGCTCCTTGCCCTGCTGCTGTCTCTTCAGGGCCTCCGTGGCCCAGCAGGCAGGACCCAGCGCAGGAAGGCAGAATGGGATGAGGAGACTTGGTGCCAATGCTGCTGCCTCTGGGAGCCCCACACCACCTGTGCTGCCATGGTGAGGCACCCCCTTCCCACCCACTAGCAGTGGTGCTGCTGGCCTGGCAAGGGGCATCTCACCATGGGGACTAGGGGACTGTGGCGTTGACACCTACAGTCAAATGGGTCACTAACTGGCTGGAGGGCTGCACCCAGAGTGGTGGTGGATGGGTCATTTTTGACCTGGAGGGATGTGGGCAGTGGGGTCCCCCAGGGGTCGGTCCTCAGGCCTGCACTGTTCAACATCTTCATCAGCGACTTGGACAAGGGGGTAAAAAGCACCCTGTTCAAATTTGCAGATGACAGTAAGATGTGGGGGGATGTAGGCACACTAGAACGGAGGAATAGGCTGCAATCGGACTTGCAGATTACAGGGGCGGGCAGATGAGAACATGATGAGTTTCAACACTGACAAGTGCAGGGTATTGCACCTGGGGAGGAAGAACCAGCAGCATACCTACAAGCTGGGGAACTCCCTTCTCGTCAGTACAGAGGAAGAAAAGGATCTTGGAATCATTATTGAGGCCAATATGAACATGGGCCAACAGTGTGGGGACGTGGTCAGGAAGGCTAACCATACCTTGTTATGCATCCACAGATGCATCTCAAACAGGTCCAGAGAGGTGATCCTCCCCCTCTGTGCGGCACTGGTCAGGCCGCAGCTCGAATACTGCGTCCAGTGCTGGGTGCCGCTCTTCAGGAGGGATGTGGACAACATGGAGAGGGTCCAGAGGAGGGCCACTCGCATGATCAGGGGACAGCAGGGCAGGCCCTATGAGAAGAGGCTAC